GATAATATGGCGACACGACCCCCTCCCTGCAGACACCTCATTCCCCTCAAATAGATCCTTAGCAGCTGTCATTACCATACCAGTCCCTCTGCCAGATACCACTCTCCAAGCTCTCCCGGATCTGCCCACCTCTCCTGTGTGTACAGCGCCAGCGTGATTGGCCCTCAGCCTGCTACTGCGCATGCACAGGATTTCTGATTGAGAGCGCTGGGCAGTCTGTGTGTCCGCAGTAGCAGGTTGAGGGCCGATCACGCTGGCGCTGTACACACAGGAGACATGGGCAGATCCGGGAGAGCGGTGTCTGCCCAGCTGGCTGAGGGACTGGTATGGTAATGACTACTACTGAGGATGTGAGGGGAATGAGATGCCTGCAGGGTGGGGGTCGTGTCACTGTAATAATAATGACACCAGGGGACATAATAATAATGACTCCAGGGACATAATAATAATGACACCAGGTCACATAATAATGACACAGGGGGGACATAATGATAATGACAAGGGGGGGGAGACATAATAATGACTCCAGAGGACATAATAATAATAATAATGATACCAGGGGACATAATAATGATAATGACACCAGGGGACATAATAATGATAATAATGACACCAGGGGACATAATAATAATAATGACACCAGGGGGACATAATAATAATGACACCAGGGGACATGCTCAGGTGTCATTATTATTATTGTTGCTATTCTATGCAGTGGAAGTGGTAGGTGGCGAATTATACACACATTTACCATGAAAGTAGAATTATGGGGAGAGTGAAATGCGCTCTTCCCCCTAGTTACTGAAGCTGCCCCAGGTTGGCTCTCTTGATCGAGAACTGAGCGATCACATACCGCTGATCACTCCGTTCCCGCACTCACTCTCTCTGCAGAGAGCGGTGGCTGCCAGTCACGACTCCCCGCAGGAATGCCCCCCCTCCCCTCTCTGATCCTCCAAACGCTGACTGGAAGATGGATGGGGCGGGCACAACCTCTAGAGAGGTAGAGTCAGCTGTCAATTAGGTGGTGGTGTGGATCTGGACAATATTTTTTGGATCCATCCCAGCTGCAGCGCTGCTCTGCTCTGTCAGCATGTAGCGGGCAATATTGCATGGGGGGCGTGGTGGGAGGCCCAAGAAAATGTTTGCCCGGGGTCCAATCAATATTAAAGACGGCCCTGCGCACAGTGACTCATGCGTTACGGCAATACCATATTATGAACAGGCTCTTAAAGTGCACCTGTCATGAGAGAATGATTCATGCTGTCTTGGCTGACATTCTAAAAAGGCTCATTTCCTGGCTGCTGTGCTAATCCCCTGGCTATAATACCATTTGAGTCACAGACCCAGAACAAGCAATTCTGATTTCACAACATCCAGGTCTATTAAAACAGGTCATTAGCATTTTATTTTTACATTTTGTAGGTTTGGTCCTATTTTTTAATGACAGGTGCACTTTAGGGTCCCATTTCCCTGATCCAGTTTAGTGAACAATGCAGTAATGGGATTGCAGCCACCCC